ATGCAATTTGGTACTTAAAATACGGTGCAGAGTTCCATGGGAGAGATAACGGTGGAATCTAAAAATCCTTTACTTTCTACGTCAATATGAAGCAATTGGGAAGTGGTGGCAGCTTTAGCTATAAGCGGGCCTGTTTCGTTGGAAATTGCTAATAATATAGCTTCCTATTTCCAAACAGGGGGCTAATTATGCTTGTTTATTACATGCTTATGCTTTTACGAAATGCTTACCCTCAATTTGCCACTGTATTAGCATGGGGAGAATTTCACACAACAATACAAAATGAAGAGGAAAGGAGCCATGAACAATGGTATGCTTTGCCTGGTTAAGGAAGGAAATGATCTACTAAGCTCAGGGCTGGGAGTCAGTAAGTGGTGATGGTGTCACTTGTGTAACACATTACTTGAGGAGGAGGAGGAGGAGGAAATGTGGGCATAACAATGTTCCTCCACACAAAATAATATGAGTGACTCATAATGCTTTTACACTTACCACAAAGCAAGTTATGTCTATCATGCCCTCCAGCATTTCACAGTTGAAAAGTTTGACATGTGGCCAAGGGAAATCAAAGTGCAATCAAGATGGGAAAAGTGATTAATATAGTATGTGAGGGTGCAACCTTTTGCTTTTGCCTGAGCCTACTGGGAAGGTTGCGGGGCTTGACGATTGCAAGGCTTGGGTTAAAATTGCTGGAAGAAACATTAACAACCTTAGATATGCAGATAATACCACTTTGATGGCCAAAAGCGAGGAGGAACTGAGGAGCCTTCTAATCTAGGTGAAAGAAGAAATTGCAAAAGCTGGGTTGCAGTTAAACATAAAAAAAGCCAAGATTACGGCAACAAGACTGATTGGTAACTGGGAAATAGAGGGAGAAAAGGGAGGCAGTGACAGACTTTGTATTTCTAGATTACTGCACACGCAGACTGCAGCCAGGAAATCAGAAGACGTTCACTGTTTGGGAGGAGAGCAATGACCAATTTCAATAAAATAGTGAAGAGTAGAGACATCACACTGGCAACCAAGATTCACGCAGTCAAAGCAATGTTATTCCCTGTAGTAACCTACAGATGTGAGAGCTGGACCTTAGGGAAGGCTGAGTGAAGGAAGAGAGATGCTTTTGAACTGTGGTGTTGGAGGAAAGTTCCGAGAATGTGTTGGACTGCGAGAAGATCCAACCAGTCCATACTTCAGGAAATAAAGCCCAACTGGTCATTGGAGGGAAGAATAGTAGAGGCCAAGATGAGGAATTTTGGCCACATCATGAGGAGACAGGAAAGCTTAGAGAAGACAATGATGCTGGGGAAAAATGTAAGGAAAAAGGAAGAGGGGCCGACAAAGGGCAAGATGGATGGATGGTATCCTTGAAGTCACCCTGGACCGTGCTCTGACCTACAAGAAGCACTGCCTGAATATCAAGCAAGAAGTGGGTGCTAGAAACGATATCATACGAAAGCTGACTGGCACAACCTGGGGATCACAACCAGACACAGTGAAGACATCTGCCCTTGCGCTATACTACTCTGCTGCTGAGTATGCATGCCCAGTATGGAACACATCTCACCATGCTAAAACAGTAGATGTGGCTCTTAATGAGACATGCTGCATTATCATGGGGTGTCTGGACCCTACACCACTGGAGAAATTACACTTTTTAGCCGGTATTGCACCACCTGACATTTGCCGGGAAGTAGCAGCCAATAGTGAAGGCAGTGACTTATCCCTTGTTTGGGTATCAGCCAGCATGTCAAGGACTTAAATCAAGAAATAGTTTTCGAAGATCTACAGAGACACTCGCTGGAACACCAAAAGTGGCAGGCTCAAACCCAGAACCTCAACCAATGGCTGATACCAAATGAGAGACTCCCCCTCTGGGCCCACAGAAGACTGGGCGACTTGGAAGGTGCTGAACAGACTGTGCTCTGGCACTACAAGATGCAGAGCCAATCTTAACAAATGGGGCTACAAAGTGGAATCCACAACATGTGAGTCTGGAGAAGAGCAAACTACAGACCATCTGCTACAATGCAACCTGAGCTCTGCCACATGCACAATGGAGGACCTTCTTGCGGCAACACCAGAGGCACACCAAGTGGCCAGATACTGTTCAAAGTTTAATCAACTACCAAGCTTGCAAATTTTGTTTTGTGCCTGTTTGTTTTGTTCTGTTAGAAATGTAAGACAATTTTCTGGTTGCCCCTGACACAATAAATAAAGAAATAATAAAGTGACTGGCTTGACCTTGAAGGAGCTGGGGGTGGCCACAGCCAACAGGGAGCTCTGGTGTGGGCTGGTCCATGAGGTTACAAAGAGTTGGAAGAGACTGAACGAATAAACAACAAACTGGGAAGGTTAAGATTCTACCCCTTTTTTCTTCTTCCTGCTGAGTTAACTGTGTGCAATGATCTCATGTAAGTAATCCCGTATTGAGTGCAATGATATCCTGCATGGGGAGAGCTAAAATAACAGAGATGCAAGACTTTTCTTTTAATCTACACTCGGATTCCTGGTAAAACTAACAAGAAAGAAAAAGTTTCCTTTTACATCTGGGTCAAGACTCCTGCCTTCGTTTCTCCTCTAACAAACTAGTGCCTGAAGCCAAACAATTCCTAGTTTACTTAGGGACAGTCGAGCCAAGATTCATGTTCAGATTAACTGCACACTTTCGATTTTTCACTAATTTAGATCAGTTTATCCGCATTTGCAGGCAAGATGAAGCTGCGGCAAATACATTCTTCTCAGTAATTGTCATTTATGATTGTGTCTTATCATAGCAATTCTTTTTGACTGGGGCAATGATAGAAGCCTCTTTAACTTTTTAAATCAGCCTAGGGCATGGTTTTTTTTGGAACCAAATTATAGATTATGATGTGGTCCATAGAAATGTTGAGGACCTGAAGGAAGCACTAACCCCTCAACTCTCTCTGCCATGGCTCAATAGCACAATTCTAAACTGAATGGACCAATTCAAATCCTGAAACCGCAAAGAAGAGAGTGTGCACGGAGAGAAAGGGTGACATTGCAAGCATCACATACTCATTGTTTTCCATTGCTTGCTTCAAAGTTAAAAACCTGGATGTTTCCACTAAAACCAGGGAGCTTTCATTCAACTTCAGTTTATACAATATGTGTGTTGGTGCACCCAAGATCAGAGTTGTTTATTTCTGGAAATCAATGCTTCTGAACAGGAAAATGAAGGGATTGTTTTTAGGCCAGAAACTTTTTCCATTGCAAAGTTGCCCTGTTGCAACGAGCCATGCCCAAATGAAGCAGTGAGTGACTTGCGAACTGAGAGAGATTCAGATATGGGTCAGGGCATTTGTGGGAGGTGGAGGAGGGCTTGGGTTCTCTTTTTCAAAACTGCATGTGAGCCTTCAATCGAGGCTGCAGGAACTACTGGGAGAAGACTGAGCTCTTCTCTGAAGCAAGTCATTGGTTTCTCATAAACTCCTCGCAAATAAATCCTGTGCAGTTTCCTTTCTTGGTTTTGTTGATTCTGGACTGAGAGCCTTAGAGCTTGTGGGAGCTTCTTATATCAACTTTAATACATTTTTCATTGGTTTTCTAGCTGTGGGAGGAGATATCAGGGTCCAGGAGCTGCTCAGAAGGGAGAACATTTTGTTTGTTTCTTTGTTTTAAGAAGTGGAGACTCTTTGTCTCCAAAGGGGTTGGGAAGGATCACATTGTGGATGTGGGTGGGAAGACTGGGAGTTGTCTGTGGTGCAACACACAAGCAGGAAAGGAGACAGGTTGCACATCAGTCTTGGGAGCAAACTATTTAGATCCCATCCTCTTTTCTGAGTGATGAAATAAAAGAGTCCATCCCAGGATAACCTAAAGGATGCACAGAGCCCTTCTACTCTCTCTCTCTCATGGTGGGGAAGTACCAAAGACCTGTTATTGCTCCCATTTTCCCATCTAGCTCTTCCAAAAGACTAGAAGCAGAATCACAATGGAGAGAGGTATTTACATTGACGGGTGTATAACTTGACCCAATTTTCCCTACCTTATATACGAGGGTTGAATGAAAAGAAATGCCTCCACCTTCGTAACTCCTCAACAGATGATAGTACTGGTATGCAGCAGGTACTGGCTTGTTCAGTAGACTCTCCTCTACAGTTCCATTTTGATAGGAAGCCTTAGCATTGAATGGTTGTGTTGTTAAAGTGTGAAATATGGAACCCTGCACAGACGGTCGGTCAATGCAATTTAAGCAATGTGCAATCATTGAATTCTTGACAGCAGAAGGTGTCACCCCAAAGGAGATTCATCAGAGAATGCAAGCTGTTTATTGTGATTGTGTTGATGTGAGTACTGTGTGTCGTTGGGCGAGTAAGTTTAGAGATGTTGAGGTGGGAACATCTGACTTGTGTGACAAACAAAGAGTTGGATGACCTGTGACAGCAACCACTGAGTTTCAGAAGCAAAAGGTTGACAGATTGATTCAGGATGATCGTCGTATCACTCAGAGAGAAATTTCAAGCATAACAGGCATTTCAAAAGAACGTGTGGGTCACATTATTGCTTTGCTTGGCTATCAGAAGATCTGTGGAAACAGAATGTTGACTTCTTCCGTGACGGCTTCAGAAAACTTGTTCATCGTTGGTAGAAATGTATCCAATTGTCTGGTGATTATGTGGAAACGTGAATAGTGGTAGTTAAAGAGCACATTCTAATGATTATTTCTGCGTTTGATTTATTAAAATTTTCCCATCCAAACCCAAGTAACGAAGGTGGAGGCATTACTTTTCATTCAACCCTCATCCATGAATATATACAGTAATTAATCACCTTCACCAAGTAGCTTTCCAAGCTATCTCTACTCACAGCACCATTGCTCTAATTCACAGCTGATTTTAAGCTCAAAACCAGGAAATCAAATCATGGATTTTTGAATAACACATTTGCTTTGATTCTGAGCCTCATGGCTGCACAGACTGAGGAAGCAGACAATGTCCACTGGGCAGAATGGTCTAAGCAGAGCATGCTGTTAGTAATACCTCTGTTATTTTCATTCTCAGCTGGTGGTTTTCTGATTGTAGTCCTTCTAACCTAGATGTGCTGGCCTGGTTGACACTGGTGACAGACGTCGATGTTTTTGAGTCATCTTTCTTCTGATTTTGAGTGAACTGGAGCCCTCTGTTCCGAGTAGCAGCATCCGGATTTGTTCTCAGAGTGATTAACTGGAAATTTTGAAAGCAGAGAGAAAAATCTGAAGGTTACTTCAATTTAGTTTTGTGCTCTCTGCCAAAAAAATACAGTTATAGAACATGAGGTTCAGTGTGAAATGCCAGGTTTTGAGGCAGAGTCTCAACAAATAGCTAACCAATTTTTCCATACACATGAGCTAAAATTATTTTCACTTTTCCCTTCTCCAATTAGTACACAGACTTCTTAACATGCAGTTTAGCTAATATCAGAATATCATGGTGAGGAGGTGGGGATATGCCTCCCCCAGTGTTACACCTCCAAATAAATCATGGCTTCCTCTTATACGATAGCAGACTTTTGACGTTACTGGAGCAATGCTGCAAGAATACTTGTGGCTCCTATGCACCCAAAGATAATCTTCAAAAGATCCTCTCAATGTTTATTCTAAAATGATAGACATAGTCTGCTTCTTCTTTTAGAATTACCTGCATTAGGAGTGATATAATTTATTAGATTCTGATTTCAGATAGTGGAAAATTCTTTTCACACAGCCATTAAGCTTTCAACCCACAACTGGGTGGACTCTATGACTGGACAGACACCCAGAGCTCTAGGTTTCCCTGAGCTGTGTTACTGTAGATTGCAGGTGGAAAATCACACAACTGAATATTCCTCAATTAAGTAAGAACCTGATACATAAAAAAGACCCAAAAGAAGACTAGACATATTCAGGCTAGACATTTCTATCCGAAATCTAGTGTTCTATGCAGTGATATATTCTGCATAGAGAATTCAGCAGGCATTGGTTCCTCATTTACATTATGAATTAATACTGCCTAGACACAGCTTTATTGCCATAATAAAAAACTAGTTCCGTATCTAATCAAGTCAGAGGAACTATCCTTGAAGTGAGAAATGTGTAAATCCTTAGAGTGGTGCACCACATATATTATATTTGCATTATTTTAAAGGGAAATTGTATATTTGTGCTGGCACGGCAGTGCCAGGAGATTTAAATTTCTCTTTCTTGCTTTGCTAGTTTGTTTGAATTTATTTAAGCCACACATTTTGCAATCAGGTAGCTTCCCCAGATTGCAGCCATAGGGCCAGCAACCTGGCAATCATTGTTAGGGTCTTTAGACCCGCCCCCTTTCCCAGGATTTTGGAGGCAAAGGAGGACTTTTGTTCACTCTCACTGTTTGAAGCCTAACAGCAGGATGTGTGGGTTTCTCTATCCTACCTGCACAAAGGCTTCACTACTCACAGCTCTGCTGGGGGAGTAAAGGAATAGTCCCATAGCTTTGCTGGGAGAATACAGCCAGCCTTTGCTGGGGCAATAGGACAGTTCCTACAGCCTACAGAAGAAGGAAAAGGAAGAATCCACATGGACGATACCTAGGCAGTCACACGTCTTATATATATCTTTTTATGATTTGTTTTAATTTTTTCTTTCTTTTTCCTACTTTTCTTTTCCCCCCTTCTTTTTCTTTTTCTGTTCTCTTACTCCTTTTCTTCTTTTCTTTGATATTTCAAAAGTTTTTCTTTTTTTTCTTTCTTTTTTATGTATAAGGTAAAGGTAAAGGTTGTCCCCTGACATTAAGTCCAGTCATGTCTGACTCTGGGGTGTGGTGCTCATCTCCATTTCTAAGTCAAAGAGCTGGCATTGTCCATAGACACTTCCAAGGTAATGTGGCTGGCATGACTGAATGGAGCACCATTTTTTTTATATACACATATATTATTCTCTTTTTAAGGAAAATTTTCAATAAAGATTATTTTAAAAACAAAACAAAAGGGGATTTGATCCCATGTCTTTCAGGTAGTCCTACACTTGACTCTATTACACCACGCTTACACACTTTATGAGGCATCAGCTAAACTCACTATTAGTCGTAGTTAGAATAGATCTGCTGAACTGATTTAAGGCCTACTGATTTCAATGGATCTATCCTAGATAGGACTAATGCTGTTTTTAGTCCTATGGATACAATCCCACAAACTAGACATGTTCTTTTGAGGTTACTACTCATTTCAGTGGGGCTTATTCAAAAGTTGCTTCCCTGTGGGATTCCAGAACAAGTGAGCTGAATTGATGTACGGAAATGAAATGCAAATAAAAAGATCCATCACGAACGCATGTGCTTACCTTCGGTACAAAGACTAAGCAGAGCGTGATGGTGCTACAGAATATAATGACGAGTGCCACAATACAGAACTGCACGTTGGGCTGATCTCGTGTGAGAAAGGAAACCGCAGCTCCAATAATGCACATGATGCCTACATTGTAAACACTCATGCCAATGTATTTACTGTCATTCAGAGCCGGAATGCTCACATTTCGAGTTTCCCAAGCCAAAAAGCACCCAAACAGCTGAAATTGGGAAAAGAAAACAAAGCAATCATAATACAGTCGGCCAAGTTAGATTTGTATACATTAGACTTTAAAATGTCCTGCTTATAACAGCTTGTGCCTTATTCAGTTATATCTTGGCAAAGGCAAAAACAAAGCATGATCCAGGCAGAGATAAGCACATTTAATTTCCACTAATTTAATACCATACCTTTAACGACCCCATTGAAATCAATGAAACCTAAGTTTCCCATTTGAAATCAATTGGATTTAAAATTGCATATTGTTTGGATCATACCTAATGGTGCTTAATTTCGTAAGAATGAATGGATTCCTGTTCAGTAGTTACAAGATCATAAGCTGAATATACAATCTTGCAACATTTGGGATAAATGTTTTTAGTCATTTGCAAATAAATATGACCCCCAAATCCTTCCTAATTATGCCAAACATATATATTTGCTGAGATCCTGCATCATCAGTGAAAAAGCTCTATTGTCATAGCTATGTCTGGCAATGCCGCCTCTACGAGGGTTGAATGAAAAGTAATGCCTCCACCTTTGTAACTCCTCAACAGATGGCAGTACAGGTATGTGACAGGTACTGGCTTGTTCAGTAGACTCTCCTCTACAGTTCCATTTTGGTGGGAAGCCTTATCATTGAATGGTTGTGTTGTTAAAGTAAGAAGTATGGAACCCTGCGCAGATGGTCGGTCAATGCAATTTAAGCAATGTGCAGTCATTAAATTCTTGACAGCAGAAGGTGTCACCCCAAAGGAGATTCATCAGAGAATGCAAGCTGTTTATGGTGATAGTCTTGATGTGATTACAGTGCATCATTGGGCGAGTAAGTTTAAAGATGTTGAGGTGAGATCTGTTGAGGGGTTACGAAGGTGGAGGCATTACTTTTCATTCATCCCTCGTACATCTGGCAATATTTTCAGCCAGGTAGCATCACAACTGAAAGGTTCCCAAGGTCCTGCAGATTGAGGCATTAGAAAAATGATGTATCTAGCACTCTCTAAGTTATAGGGTACATTGACAACTGGCAGCTGGAGACACCAGACCAGAAAAGTGGGACACTGGGAAATGATGTTTACAGCAAGGCCCATAGCCAGGATTTTGATTCGTGGGGGGGGGGGGGGGGGCTGAGTTTGATTCGGGGGGGGGGGGGTGAGGATCTACCCTAGCAAACCTTTTGTATCATTATCCCAATACCCCCATGCATATGGGATATATTGAGCATGGTGATCAGATCATAATATGAATAAACATAACAGTTTAAATAATGTACCAGTAAGGCCTTCTCACGGATCACCTTGAGAATTTCGGGGGAGGTTGAAGCCCCTCAAGCCCCCCTCCCCCCGGCTACATGCCTGTTTACAGCCATGACCTGAAGTGTGGTGTGGATATCATTTCCCAGCGTCCCAATCAGCAGCATGCTGGGAGCCCTTGGGTTGAGGTGCTGCTTGGATGGAATGGTGGGATTTTTTTTATGGTGCTGTCAGACAACATAGCTATGATCACAGAACATCACTGCAGTTACCGTATATACTCAAGTATAAGCTGACCCAAATATATGCCAAGGCTCCTAATTTTACCACAAAAAACTGGGAAAACTTATTGACTTGAGTATAAGCTGAAGGTGGGAAACACAGAAGCTACTGGTAAATTTCAAAACAAAAATAGATTCCAATAAAATTACTTTAATTGAAGCATCAGTAGGTTAAATTTTTTGAATATTTACATAAAACTGTAATTTTAGATAAGACTGTCCAACTCTGATTAAATCATTATTCTAACCTTTTTCAATGTAAATATGCTTACTTATCCTTCCAATAATCACCATTGTTTATTTTAACTATACATTTTGGGGAAAATGCTGTGTGAATGATACTCAAGTATATAAGTACTTCTGATGCTGCTTGATCTCAGCTGTTGGGTGCACCGTGCATGTAGCTGTAGGTATTATTAAGATGTAAGACTGTAGTAGTTATATCATGCCTAGTAAGAGTAACACAAAGCTTGAAAGGGATTTTTGTTTGGACTATAGCTCTCAAAACTTCCCAGACTGTTCTAGAATTCTGGCCCTGAAAAATGAATTTTCCAAACTTGGCATAAACAGGTTGGTGGATTGCCCATCTCTATGAGTTGCTAATGAAAAAAAGAAAGATTAATGTGCATTTTTTCCTCTAGTAACCCTATAATGATGACTCATTAAAAATTATTTTGCAAACTATTCAAAGTATACTGATGGTAGTTCTATTTGTTTGGTTCTTTTGGAGATATTTGGTTTTTACACCCAATCTAAATTCTATATAGTATATGTTTGCACATATCACCCTACAAGACATTTTAGGTTCAATAACGGGACAACTGGCCACAAGGTAATTGCTATTATGTGCCTTCAAGGCATTTCTGACATGGTGACATTAAAGCAAACATATCACTGGGTTTCCTCGGCAGAATTTATTCAGAGAGGGTTTACCCTTGCTTTCCTCTGGGCCTGAGAGTATGTGGTTTGCTCAAGTTCACCCAGTAGGTTTCCACAGATGTGCAGGATTTCAAATTCTGGCATTTTAGTGTCCAAGCCCATACTTTCGGAAGTCTGACTTGGCCACGGTAGTCCACGCTCTGGTTACATCCCATATAGACTACTGCAACATGCTCTACATGAGGTTGCCTTTGAAGACTGTCCAGAAACTTCAAATGGTCCAACGAATGGCATCCAGATTGTTAACAGGAGCGGCGCTAAGGGAGCGTACAACTCCTCTGTTGCGCCAGCTCCAATGGCTGCCAGTTTGCTACCAGGCACAATTCAAGGTGCTGGCTTTAGCCTATAAAGCCCTAAATTGTTCTGGCCTAACTTACATGTCCGAACACATCTCCCCTTATGAACCATCTAGGACCTTAAGATCGTCTGGGGAGGCCCTGCTCTCATTACTGCCTTCATCACAAGTACGTTTGGCATAAATGAGAGACAGGACCTTCTCGGTGGTGGCCCCTCAGCTGTCGAATGCCCTCCCTTTAATATTCCGGGGGGAAAAAGTCAAGACATGGCTTTTTGAGCAAGCATTTGCAAATGCAGAATAGCTGACATAGGTAAATGGAAGGACTAGATAATGAGTCCAGACAATGTTTTTAACAAGGAGACACTATGAATTTACATTTTATTGATTTGTATAGTTTTTAATATACAGTATGTTGTGTTTTTAATTGTAGTTAAGACATTGTAAGCATTGAATTTTGCCCTGTAAACTGCCTTGAGTTGCCTGCAGGCTGAGAAAGGCAGTATACAAATACAGTAAATAAATAAATAAAAGTCCAACACTGAAGTAACAACATGCTGTATATTATTAATATTCATTCCTAAAGGCACAACTATTCCTTTAACCAATTACTTGGGAAACCATGCTGTACATGGTCCTTCCTTACTCATCCCCACTTTTATACTAGCAGTCTGAATGGGTGTTTGAGCTCAGGTCTTCCCAATCCTACTATATCACTCCCATCATTATACTACACTGGCTCTGAGCTCCACTTACCATTACTTACCATGAGTAGCCCTTTGTAGGCATAAACAATGCCAAGCCAAATGGTCATGTGAGAGTTTTCACAGTGCTCCAAAATGGGAAGGATAGAAATATCTCGTCCTGCTGGATCAGGCTGCAAGTGGGCAGAAGAAAAGAAAAGAAAGGGCAATATTTGAAATATGTTCCTCTGAATCTATGCACATTAATAAGGAAAACTCTGGTCAGGCTGGTGGCTATAAATGAGTCACTGCAAGAAATGCAGATTAACTGGAAGCAGGCTCTTGGTCCATGTTTTCCTGTCCAGGTAAAGTGTTAAAGCAAAGAGATACACTTCTAAGTTGCACTGGTTTAAGTCATTAAAGATGAACACAATCCTCTGCAAAAGGTCTATCCCAAATCATTTTGCCACCAGAGACAAAGGACAAGATGACATCCTTCCCTTTAAACAGAAATTTGTTTGTTTGTTTATTTATATTCTGCTCTTCTCACCCCACAGGGGACTCGGTGGAGCACAACATATATACAGCAAACTTTCAGTGCCAGGACATAAAACCATAAGTATATACAAACATTAAAATCACTTATATTCACATTAAAAGTTGCTTAAAAACTATCCCAGGACACCGTTTTGCTTCACTGCACTGCCCCAAAGGCTTGATCCCATAGCCAGGTCTTCACCATCCTTCTGAAGGACAGGAGGGAGGGGGTTGATCACAGCTGAACATTAGTGCAGCACTACCAAGAGATCAGCACCTGCCAAGGAGGATAGCAGGCTTAATTTAGGTGGGATCGACAGGTCCTATGGCACACACAACCTCACCTTTCAGCCTCTTGTCACCAGCTAGCATTTGTCTGCAAGGCAAAGCAGCCATGTGACTCCCATGAAAGGGAAACCTGGCCCAGTCTAACTCTTTAAGTCATGCTCCATGAAATAATAATATTTAATTTAATTCTGCGACTTCACTGCACTTCAAGTACTTTTTCCAATAATCCTACAAGGTTGGTCTAGATTACTGTTTCTTAAACTGTAGGTCCCAAGCAGGCATGTAGCCGGGGGGGGGGGGGGGGGGGGGGGGGGGGGGGGGGGGGGGGGGGGGCTGGGGGGGCTTCAGCCCCCCCTCCCCCCGAAATTCTCATGGTGGTTCGCGAAAAGGCCTTACTGGTGCATTATTTAAACTGTTATGTTTATTCATATCATGATCTGATCACCATACTCAATATATCCCATATGCATGGGGGTATTGGGGTAACGATACAAAAGGTTTGCTAGGGTAGACCCTCTTTCATTCAGACTCAGCCCCCCCCCAAACAAAATCCTGGCTACGGGCCTGGTCCCAAGACCCCAAATGAGATCCCCTTAGCTCAATACTGAGATCCCCAAAATTTGGCAAGAGTAAACATTTTTGAAATATGACCTAATAGGTGTTTTAGACATTTACACAAATGTGCTGTGCTGTGTTTATAGTGGACTATGAAGAAACTGCCTCAGCTGTACTTCATAAAAAGGAAACTTAGTCTGTTTAGCAGCATGTCAAAATTTCGCAGACAGGAAGAGCTGTGAATGACAAAGTTTTAAGGTGTTATCATCTTAATATAAGCAGGAAAGCCAGATTTAAAACAGAGGGTGAAAGCCTCACCTACGAAATCATAGCAAGGCAGCATGCTCTTCAATAGGCTTGGTTGATTTAAAAATGGTTCAAAACTTGTTTCGGATGTAGGGGGCACTGGTGGTTCAAGTCTAAAGTCAATTCCGATTTTCACAGAAAAAAACGTTCAAAACTTTTTGAAACTTCTGAGACGTCCGAATCCTTTCATTAAAGGTTTGAAAGTGTTATTTCCTGTTTCACTGGGTGGTCTTTACTTTGAAAGTAGTTGTTTTACTCCCGAAGTGGGGAAATGCAAGCAAAGGAAATTCCTTCCTTCTCTGGTTTAAATCTGGCTTCTCTGGCTTGAATCGAGGCCAGGGACCAGAAGCGAGGAAAAGCAAGCAGAGGAAATTTTTTCCTTCTCTGGTTTAAAACTGGCTTCTCTGGCTTTAAAACTGGCTTCTCTGGCTTGAGCCAAGGCCAGGAAATTCCTTCCTTCTCTGGTTTATAACTGGCTTCTCTGGCTTGATCCGAGGCCAGGGACCAGAAGCGGAGAAAAGCAAGCAAAGGAAATTCCTTCCTTCTCTGGTTTAAAACTGGCTTCTCTAGCTTGAGCCGAGGCCAGGGAACAGAAGCGGGGAAAAGTTGAATCATTTCCAACTCACTTCATGAGTCGTAACAAAAATGGCAGAAAAAGCTTTGGAAGGGCAAAGGGACTTCCGGATTTCTTAAAACCGTTGAAATCACTTCAAAAAGGTAATTTTTCCAACTTTATTCCGAGATATGAAGATTCCGACCTAAGGTACCTAACCATGCCTACTCTCCAACCATACCAATCTGAGAGGGGCAGTTCTGATTAATCCTCTACTTTCCCACTTTTCCAGCTGTTTTTACTGTCCTGGTTTCTCTCTCATTCTCCCAGCTTCCTTCTTCATCACAGGCTTCCTTCAATTGCTGCAAATTGAGTCCAGAGTGCAAATGTTTGCACTCAGTTAACTCAGCATGGGGGAGAGGGGAAGAAGGGATGGAGTCTTCCTCTTCCCTGCAGACCCAGGCAAAAGCAAACTGCTTTAGCCTCTCCAAGCTTGCCTGTTCTTCCTCACTCATAATTTTTGCCATCTTGATACATTTTGAAATGTTGGAGAGTATGAAACAGCAGAGAATGTGTAAATAAATAGCAGATGTGATGCAATTGAGCAGAATATATATTGTTGCTGAGAAATTGAAAGCGAGAAGGAAATTATCCCTGCTGTGAACTGGCAAACAAAAGGAAAAAGTGCTTTTTGCTACTCAGATCACTAGATAGCACCCCTGAATCTCTCTGTTATTTATTTTTCCATAAAGATGTTGCCTCCTGCTTTGAGCGAGTCTAAATTGCCAAAACATGAACCAGGTTTTCAGATTCATCCTGCTCCAGCAGAGCCTTAAAACATTAAATACCTTTCAGTTGTCAGTTCCCCAAAGGAAATCCACTTTGCTCAGAACATTCAAATCCTCATTGCCTAAGAAATATTTTTAGCCACTCCTGTTCATCCACGCACAGCTGAGATCCCATCCTGCCATATTCCGTTACCTGACATTAACCTGCGATTATTTTCGACAGAAAGAACAAAACTGCAGTTTTCAACCAAAGCCTCATCTCTCTATCAGGATGATGACATCTTCCTCAGCAGGACATTTGGAAACATATAGTTGCAAAAATTTCAAAGCAAGGAGTTTAAACCTCAGTGTGGCTTTAGGTTTCCTTGACCTGGATATTTCACATCATTCAAGATTGTTGGAAAACCTAGTGTTTTTTTTTAAAAAGCATACAAAAGTGTATTTTCATCCACAACTCTTGTGTCATGTGCTTCTAAAAGCAACAAAGTTCTCAGCTAACCACTTCACCTCAGCAGTCTCCATTCTCCATGCATTATTTAACCTATAAAACTGCCTTGCAGCTCTTTCCAGTTGTATCTGTAATCAAACAACTTCACGAGAGGAAGCATTCCTTGGCTGCAGTTTTTGAGATTTGGAGATGAGACAATACTGTTAAAGCTATTTATAGAGTCCTCGCTTGTGGATGCACAATTTCCCCACAGTCACCACGAACCAATAACATTTCTCAACAGAATATATCCATAATTTATCATTTTCTCTTGTGTGGGCTTTGTTTCAAAGACTCTGATTTTCAGAAGACTGATGTATCCGGGGATAAATGATTGTCTCATTCTTCGCTGCCATCACACCTTCCCAATTTAACCACAGAGTTTGGCTTTAATTAGAAAATGTTAGGTCTGAGAGGGATTGTTCTCCTCTTCTGATTTATTATGTTTTATAACAAAGAAAGTGGTTGGCATGATTTTTGTCAAAATTCCTTCAATACTCTACTGGTACCCAGTACCTGTTCATTCCTACCCTGTGGTAGGTTTGGACCCTAGCTGAATGGGGCTCAAGATAACTGATTTTTGAATGGAAAAAGCTTTGAGATATGGAACTGTGGCTTATTCCCAGATTAGGTGACTACCTCCCTGACACCCCAAATTCCCAGGTTAGGGACACCCCAAATTCCAAGATTAGATGAACACACCCTTGATACCCCAAATTCCCAGGTTAGGTGAATACCTCCCTGACACCCCAAATTCCCAGGTTAGGTGAGTACACCACCGACACCCCAAATTCCCAGGTTAGGTGACTACCTCCCTGATACCCCAAATTCCCAGGTTAGGTGACCACCTCCCTGAAACCCCAAATTCCCAGGTTAGGTGAGCATACCCCCGACACCCCAAATTCCCAGATTAGGTGACAACCTCCCTGACACTCCAAATTTCCTAGGTTAGGTGAGTACACCCCTGACACCCCAAATTGCACCAACAGGGAGCCTCTGGTGGTGCAATGGGTTAAACCCTTATGATGACAGGAGTAAAGCCTGACAGATCGGAGGTTCGAATCCACGGAGAGTGTGGATGAGCTCCCTCTGTCAGCTCCAGCTCCTCGGAAGTGACTGAATGAATAAACAACAACCCACCTTTTCAGAGCATACTGGTCCTGTATGGTAGAATACAAAACATCTGGAAGCTGAGATGTAGAAGAATGAAGCCAGAAAGGAATACTGCTGGAAGAGTGCCCAGACAGTTGAAAAGTCCCCTGCAACCTATTCGATTATAGTAAAATCAAGGGGGGTATTTATCATACCAAAAGCTGTTTTCACTTGTTATTTGAGTGCAAAATTACATTCACAGATTTGTAGGTAACTAAAGGCGTTAAATGTACTATATACCAAACTTTGTTGTTGTTGTTGTTCATTCATTCAGTCGTTTCCGACTCTTCGTGACCTCATGGACCAGCCGTCACCACCCCCAGTGTCTTCAAAGTGAAGCCAGTCACTTCAAGGATACCATCCATCCATCTCACCCATGGTTGGCCCCTCTTCCTTTTTCCTTCCATTTTCCCCAGCATCATTGTTTTCTCCAAGCTTTCCTGTCTTCTCATGATGTGGCCAAAGTACTTCATCCTTGCCTCTAATATCCTTCCCTTCGATGAGCAGTTGGGTTTTATTTCCTGAAGT